CTGTGCTGTGGCCTGTTGACTTACCGTCCATTTGGTTTAAGTTTAGACAACAGATCAACATCCAGGCACAAGAGGTAAGCCATAAGTGCGCCGTTCTAATTCTGACTCAAGCCTGAGCCAGAAGAATCTCAGCGCAGTGCACGAGCTCCGTAGCACCGACAAGCATCTTGTCCATGAGATTTCCTATTCTTAGAAAGTTAAAGTTGTAGGTAGCAGTCCGGAGGAGGACAGAACAGAATGGTCTTTCCAATATTTTTTTAAATTGTATTTTGTTTTGAATATCAACTTACCCAAGGGTCCTGCCTTCTGTTTTACTTTAGTTTTCTCTGGCACAGTTATTTTCATATTCACTGTTCTTCTGTCTCTTCTTCTTCTTCTTCTTCTTCTTCTTCTTCTTCTTCTTCTTCTTCTTCTTCTTCTTCTTCTTCTTCTTCTTCTTCTTCTTCTTCTTCTTCTTCTTTTTCTTCTTTTTCTTCTTCTTCTTCTTTTTCTTCTTCTTCTTCTTCTTCTTCTTCTTCTTCTTCTTCTTCTTCTTCTTCTTCTTCTTCTTCTTCTTCTTCTTCTTCTTCTTCTTCTTCTTCTTCTTCTTCTTCTTCTTCTTTCTTCTTCTTCTTCTTCTTCTTCTTCTTCTTCTTCTTCTTCTTCTTCTTCTTCTTCTTCTTCTTCTTCTTCTTCTTCTTCTTCTTCTTCTTCTTTTTCTTCTTCTTCGTCTTCTTCTTCTTCTTCCTCCTCCTCCTCCTCCTCCTCTTCCTTCTCCTCTTCTGCGATCTTAATAAGGCAACTAGTACGCTATTTTTTGGTTTTACAATCAGGCCAAGTTATCTCCACCTTTCGGCCCAAAACATCCAATTTCAGCAAAAATAGTCGCCTTTTAAAGCATTCTCATTAGAGATCAAGGGGTCTATTCTATGTTTCTTTCTACACAATGGGGCCTGGGAATCCACCTGAGGACCTAATGTTTGTGATCCCAATCCGGCAGTCGTTGTTAATGTCGGCCACAAAACCTGACATGAAACCCCCAGCCAGGCATGTACATTGTTGACCTGGTTTGTCCTCAAAGTTCCGACTGCAGAGTTGGTATTTTTGTCCCTTTTGTGCCACGGCCCATATTTTTTAAGTCGTTCCCAGGACAGAAAAGAAAAGACATCGAAAATGTCAACTGACTACTCTTTTGTATTAATGTCTGAGTCTTATATGTGAAAGTAAAGGACCATTTTCCACGCCTACCGGTGAACTGGGTATATGAGACTAGATCTATATTTTATAGACCAATCGGCACTTGGTAGGTGGTGAAGTTAGCAAAACTAGTGTCATTCCCCCCCCCCCTCCTACGGGACTGCAATCTGTAGGAAGTTTAAAGTTTAAAGGTTGGAACAGCGGATCAACATCATGGCACCAGGGTAGTGCACTGTTCCTCTTCTAACTCAAGTCTGAGTCCTAAGTGCACGACCTCCGTAGCACCGGCGGTGATCCTGAAATACTTTGGGTAGATTTTAAACTCAAAATTTTGCCCGGGCAGGGCCGTTAGGCTACTCTTTTTGATTTCCAACTGCCAAGGTTTTTTTTTTTTTTTTTGTTACGTGTGCAACACTACCCAGAGACCAGGGGAAATTACTAGAAGTCCACGTGAACAAATCTCAGCCCACACCGGGGCCTGAACCCGGGACCTCTAGCACACGAGCCATACACCATACCTCCAGACCACGCAGCCTGAAGGATTAACATCTCAATGACGGAAATCAGAACGCTACAAATCCCTGAAACGCCGTGCAACCATATAGAGATATTTCGCACCCACATCTGGGCACAACAGAAAAATTACATACATGTAGTCTAGTAAGGCTGGGGCGATTGGAAGCAAAGAACAAGAATATCAGGTGTGACTACACACCACAAATAAAAGAAAACCAAAATAAGATAGCCTAGGAATCTTCCTTCATGTAGCACGCTTCCGGGCAGCTCAAAAAGAATCAAATTTGGAATTATTATTTTTTTTTTTTTTTGACAGTTGGAATTGGCTGGGTCGATAAGTGCCTTATTTGCAACAAAATGTACATTATTTCCCGTCCTTTTTTAGGATGAAATTTTCTTTATTTGAAGCCCTACTCTGGCTCTTGCCATGGGCCGCAATATAGCCTGGCCATAAATATGGCCTAAAGGCTGAACGCGGTTTCTGGGACCTCTCCACGGTGATCTTCACCAACATGGTGGCACATTGTGTCATCGGGTGTTTATCGCTTGTGTGATGTCCTGGTGGGGTAGAAAGTCAGTCAGTGCCTTATTAATGTATCAGAAATATGCCACTCTATACATCTGCACATAACATTAAGTTACCCCGGTCCCTCACAATCTACACGGGTCTTTTAAAAGTTTTATTATTTTTTTCTAACTTTCATTTCATGTTTTACTTGCAGTTTTAACACCACCCCAATTCCACCTTCCCAATTGTTTTAAATTGTAGCTCAGAGGTTTTTTAGAATACTGTATAATTTATCTGATTTTGCAACCAAATTCTGTTTTTTTTTTAAAAATAAAAACAGAACCAGTAAAACGGCAGTATATTTCCCTGGTCGCTATATTTCAGTGATGCTGTAATTTAAAACAATAGAGGCCCAATGACTGGATATAACTAAGGGCTTCATCAAGTCTAAATCCTTCACTGGGTGTGATTACTAATGGCGTCCGTTTTTGAAGGGACGCAGATGCCCGGTTAGCTTTGCAGGAATGTACCCTTTTCTGTTTGCTGGTTTACAAATTTAACGAGATCCTTATCAGTGTGTCACTTCACTCAGCTTATCATGGAAAAATGCTTCACGAACTACACTTGACACACGACCGTAGGTAGCTGCTAGCCCTTCCCAATACTTCGCACTTTCAAACCCGGAATCTGTTGTGGAGGATACCTTCACATGGGAGCTGACCAGTCCCGGCAGGGATGTATTTATGTCCCCTGTCAGATTGTGTCAGAATGGTTAATCTCAAATACGGGGCGAGAATTTGGGGCTCACCCCCCCCCCCCGCCCCCCGTTTCGTCGTTGGCGCCTTTGCTGTCAAGCCATGGTGTACCAAAAATCCTAAAGCAGCGTTTCGTGCTGGGAGATAACTTCCTGACAGAACCACGACCACAGGGGCTGGGTTATCTCCTTTGAACAAGTGCGGACCGTAATGTGCTGAATCGGCGAGATGGGGGCACCCGAGTGAAATCACATCGGAGCTTGCGGGCCGAGGGTGTGAGCTCCAGACAGATTTAGGGCGGCTGCACGTGCTAGACAGGTATCTGGTGCCTGGTTGTTTGGTGTGGCTGAGACCAGGTGAGCTCCTCGGTCAGATCCCTGGCCAGACTTGGTACAGCTTAAACGATGTGGCTGTGCAGTTTTGGGTTAGTTTGTGTGATGTAGTTGTAAGACTACATGGAGAACCTATAACAATTTTCTAGATCAAGTGAGTTGAAGAGTTTTAACTTTTATTAATAAATATAGGGTTCGTTAAGGCAGTTGTGGATTTTTTTGCACTTATTGAAAATTAGGGGGGGGGGGGAGTGGGCTCAGTGGGTTTAAATTGTGTTTAATTATAATTACGCAATTATTATTATTATTAAATAGGAAATAAGAAATAATACATTTGATATAATATGAAATATATTAACGAATTTTTTTTATATTTAAAAAGAGAAAGTATATATGTAGTGTCGGCTCTGTGGCTAAGTCGATGCGAACGCTTCGTAATGCCGGGATGCCCTGTTGGATCCCAGCTGCGGGCCATGCGCCTTGCATTGGTTTCGACAGTGGTATCAAGAAAGCCGACCGTCCAGTAGGCAATGGCAAACTACTGGATGTAAATTTGCCTAGAAAAACCACACAAAAGCCAGGGCCTGTTGAGGTTGGTTCTGCAACGTCCTGTAAAAGATACGTAACTAACAATATATGTAGTGGTTGTGAATAGTTGAAATGTTTCATGAAAATTATGTTGGGTGGGGGGGGGGAGCAGCAGCCTCTCCCACAAAACAATGGTGGGGGGGGGGGGATGTCTGAGTTCCTAGATTCTGCTGCTTATGATAGACAGTATTATGTCTGGGAAATGTCATATTGTAGCCATATTTCATGCCAAATTGGTTTGGAGAGAAAAATAATCAGTAGCTTGGTTCCCGGATGAAGAGGCAGGGATGGACCATCACGATGGACACAGGATACCAAGGACACTCTGGGTATGGCCGTTTGAGATATATATAATAATTGTTTCTATATGCAAAAATAACAATTGAGAATATAGCGACATAGAGATAAATATTTAATAATTCAACAATGGGAAACAAAAATAAAACATTCAAAAGACAAACAATAATGCATTATAAATATATATTTGTACAAATCTATAAACAGCTCTGGGAGAAATTGTAGTCTTGTATAAACATGATTCTGTTCTTGCGTCAGATAGAAAGCAATATTGTTGAACATGCATGGCAGCTATGACATGCTTGATTTACTGGTTTGAAACTTATATATAGCAACTTTTTCAGTTGTAAATGTTAGTAAAAACGAAACGTGTGTGGAAGGGAGATAATGGCCACGATAGATGTGGCTGTTTGCATTCTTTAGATGTCTCCTAAAGTTGCCTCCCTTATCATGACCTAGCACTAGAGCGATCGCCTGCTCACATTTCTGTGTGTTTGCTCACCAAACGTAAATAGACGACCATGGACTACACACTCTTGTATGTGGGACTCCCGGCAGCATGATCTCCTCTGTCCTTGACATGATTGTTTTCTTCTGGCAATCGTTGTCTCATGATGATCTTGACTGTTCTATTTTAGCTACAAAATAACGTTGGAACTTGATTCTGTAGGTCAGTGCATTTTTTTTTCTTTCGATTAACTGCTTCGAAACAGTCATAACATCTGACACAAGATGCCTTGTGGAAATTAGAACAAGAATCGCCATTGCGAAAGTGGCTATTAGAAAGATACAAAATATTCTTACCAGTAAGAAGATATGTAGATTTCGATGTTAAATTGTGCTACCCCCTCCCCTCCCTTCCCCCCCAACACCCCCTCCCTTCCCCCGGACAGAAAAACTCCATCACCTTACTGGGGCTCGAACCCGGGTCTCCCGAGTGAGAGTGCGACGTTGTAACCACTCTGCTTGCCGCTCCTCTTGATTTTATTCATTTAATCCTCTTATTTATAATCTGGCTTTCAGGCTCGTTGCTCGTCTTCTTTCAACAGTAGCATTATCCGCAAGCTTATCCGTGTATTCGTTTCCTCTTGCACCCGCACACCCTGACACATGGAAACCGATCTGTGTCTCACAGTGAGCGCTTCAAAGATCTTCCAGCCAAACTAATGTTGATTCCGTTGAATGCTAAAAAAAATCACTACCACGTTCATATTGCTGTTGGCAGCAAACCGCCAACATGCTCTGGTTATATTTGTGGTATAGTTTATCTGCGCCACTTTCGTGGCTAAGATTGATGAATGTGCGCCAGCTCTCTGGTTTAATGTTCCTGTCCTCAAAGACAGACTGCTCCTTCTTTCCCTTGTCCCCGTGTGTTCCTTTTATCCTTATCTTCCTGATGTTTTCCTTTCTGTGTCATCCTTATCTTGTCCCCATGTGTTCCTTTTATCCTTATCTTCCTGATGTTTTCCTTTCTGTGTCATCCTTATCTTGTCCCCATGTGTTCCTTTTATCCTTATCTTCCTGATGTTTTCCTTTCTGTGTCATCCTTATCTTGTCCCCATGTGTTCCTTTTATCCTTATCTTCCTGATGTTTTCCTTTCTGTGTCATCCTTATCTTGTCCCCATGTGTTCCTTTTATCCTTATCTTCCTGATGTTTTCCTTTCTGTGTCATCCTTATCTTGTCCCCATGTGTTCCTTTTATCCTTATCTTCCTGATGTTTTCCTTTCTGTGTCATCCTTATCTTGTCCCCATGTGTTCCTTTTATCCTTATCTTCCTGATGTTTTCCTTTCTGTGTCATCCTTATCTTGTCCCCATGTGTTCCTTTTATCCTTATCTTCCTGATGTTTTCCTTTCTGTGTCATCCTTATCTTGTCCCCATGTGTTCCTTTTATCCTTATCTTCCTGATGTTTTCCTTTCTGTGTCATCCTTATCTTGTCCCCATGTGTTCCTTTTATCCTTATCTTCCTGATGTTTTCCTTTCTGTGTCATCCTTATCTTGTCCCCATGTGTTCCTTTTATCCTTATCTTCCTGGTGTTTTCCTTTCTGTGTCATCCTTATCTTGTCCCCGTGTGTTCCTTTTATCCTTATCTTCCTGATGTTTTCCTTTCTGTGTCATCCTTATCTTGTCCCCATGTGTTCCTTTTATCCTTATCTTCCTGATGTTTTCCTTTCTGTGTCATCCTTATCTTGTCCCCGTGTGTTCCTTTTATCCTTATCTTCCTGGTGTTTTCCTTTCTGTGTCATCCTTATCTTGTCCCCGTGTGTTCCTTTTATCCTTATCTTCCTGATGTTTTCCTTTCTGTGTCATCCTTATCTTGTCCCCGTGTCCTTATTATGTATGCGAATATGTTCGCTTCTATTTTTGCCAGGCGTATCTCGTAAGAGACCAAGCTAGATCTACAAATAGTCCTTTCGGGCCACTATTTATAGTTTTAAAACGTTGAGTGTTTTACTTTGCCAAACGTACTAAAAAACAGTATGCAGTAAAAAAAACAGTAAACAGTCCTGGCCCAGGATAGAAAACTGCGACTCCCCACTACGCTGTGAGGCAATTGTGGACAAGACAAGACAGGACAAGACTAAAAACAGTTACTGGGTTTGAATAGATCCGAAATTGTGACAATATTTCGCGTTTGACCATAGCGGTCTTATAGATGTCTTACTGAAACAAGTGTAGGTTAGTCAAACCATCGTGACGTTGATGAAATGATTGCTGAAGCCTAACTATGATTCAGGATGTTTTTTGTAGTAGTGCGGTGCTGTTAAGCTAGGTTTCAATAGTGGACGAGGTCTGGTGAGTGTAAGTGGTAGATTCCCCGAATACCGAACTCAAGTGCTCGCTTAGACTCATCTACATTTACAGAATGCACTCCTACACAGCATGGTCAGCCGTTTGTTTGTTCCACACGTGCATCACGGTGGAGAGAATGGAATGCGTTTACGCGTGATTTTCTGCTCGGCTCACAGGCGTAATTGTTGCCAAAGTTTCAAAAGAACGTTGATGAAGCTATGGCTTCGTGCTTTGTGTGAAGTTACGCATCCAAATCCATTTGTTCCATCCGGGCTGCTATCCAAAGCTTTGACCATTCTGACATTACATAATGTCAACACGGATGGCAGACCAACTAGGCGAATTCCAAATACCCCGTTGAACCTCTAGAAAATATATTGTTTTGTTGTTTTAGTATCCAGAAGCCATGAGTTTTTAACCCTTAGGCTCGGTATTATGGATATCGCAACCTTTCGGCCTTGATTCCATTTTAAATACCTTAAATCTGGGAGAAAATGTGGCTTTTCTGCCTACCCCCGGGAGTGAACCCGGACCACAAGGAGTTCGTCACCCGCTCACCGCGCAATCCGGTTTAGCCAACTACGCTAGAGAGACGGGCCTAGAAAATCTATAGATGGGGCACCCGTACCGGCTACATCTGAGAGAGAAAGAGAGAGAAAGAGGGGGGGGGGGAGAGAGGGATAGAGAGAGATACTGAGAGGGGGAGGGACAGGTGGAGAGAGATTTCATATAGTTGTCAGTTCAGTTAAGCCCCCAACACGACTGAGTTACCTGCCTCCGTCAGAACAAACAATGCTGCTGGTCGTGCCAGATTTCTCGACAGTTCGTAGAGGTCAACAGTGTCTACTGCTGGAAGTTCAAACGCGAAGTTTTTTCTCTTTCGCATGAGAGATAAAGAAAGAGGGAGAGAGAAAAAAAGAGAGAGAAAGAGAGAGAGAGAGACAGACAGAGAGAGAGAGACAGAGAGAGACAGAGAGAGAGAGTGAGAGTGATGTTCTCATTCATTTCTTCCCTTTTTCTTTCCTTACCTCCCTTTCTGCTCCGGAATGCTCTCTAAAGGTCACGCACCATAAGATAATAAAATCTCAATCTGGAGGACCGATCTGCCAAACAGAACTGCAGGTACTGCTTGTATTTACCACTTTTTGGAGCTGCCGAGATGTAGCGGCTGGACCCTCCACTGCGGATCGGAAGCTCGTGACTAAGCTGGACTTTTTTTTTTAAGTGACCTTGATCCTAGGTCGACTCAGCCATAAGTGGGTACCAGGTGCAGTCATACTGAGGAAACAGGAGAACAGCATAACTAGAATGTCTTTGGAACCCACATGGACATAGGAATAAAGGAAGGCCAAAAAACACACGCAGAAGAGAGCTGGAGGATGAAGTTAGAAAGATGGGGAGGACATGTGGAGAGCTCCATGCAATGGCGAAGGATAGAGCGACTTGGCGTGAGTTGGTTTAGGGCCTATGCTCCATTGGGGGATAGAAAGGAAGAAGAAGAAGAAGAAGAAGAAGAAGAAGAAGAAGAAGAAGAAGAAGAAGAAGAAGAAGAAGAAGAAGAAGAAGAAGGTGCAGTCCTTGGAAGTGAAGGCGGCTAGCGTAATGTTATCCTCATCACCCACCGAGTGCCTATTGGACTATTAAATATAGGTCTAGCCCTATATGCCCAATACGTCAGAAGGCGAGGCAAAGGGTCCTTTAATTTTCTTTTACTTACTGAATCCACGTCGGGGTGTACTTTTATAGCCCACCTTGGCTTCTGGGTGGACGCAGTCTAAAATGGGTACAGAAATTGTCAATGAAAATAAACGCAGCGAGCAAGATGTTGATTACGTCTCATATCGAGTGACGATTTTTCTATAATTGAAAGATCTAAAACGAAACGAAAAGTAAATTAGTGAGAATACACAAAATCACTTAACTGACGTATCCCGAAGCAGCCACGTTGATGTTTTGCCAGTGGAATTCATTTATCTATAGCAATGTAGATCTATCACCTTACACAATTCGCGCGAAAGGGACCTTAATCGATTGATCGGCTTACCGCCTTCCGGGCTGTTAAAGTTTGTCATATCTTCCTGAGACTTAAAATCTCAATCTGGGTGGCAGACCTCACATACCCCCGGAGGACGAGGGTCTTGAACTTTTTCTTTGACTCCTATATACAATGTGCGTAGAGGCCCGGCTATCGTGTGCGTAGAGGCCCGGCTGTTGTGTACGTAGAGGCCCGACTGTCGTGTGCGTAGAGGTCTGACTGTCGTGTGCGTAGAGGCCCGGCGGTCTTCTTGCACCTCTCCACGGGTGATCCCCATCCGAATGGTGGCACTCTGTGACACCAAGTTTTTATCGCTCAGTGTGATGTCCTGGTTGTGTAAAAAGTCAATCAGTCAGTGACATCTAATGTTTTTATTTGGCCATGTATATTTGACATACAACTTTTTTTTACTGTTTCTCTTAGAGTGCCGATGAGAAGCTACGTAACATCGGCAAGCACCAGGCCGGTACAGTTGTGCAGACACAGAATTTCACTTTTTACAAGAACCAGCCAAAACGGGAACCCGAAGCACAACTACAACCGCAGCGTCAGCAGCAGCAACAGCAGTCGCCCACGCTCCCACAGAAAGAACCGGATGTCAGGGAATCCACGGCACCTGCGCAGCAGTTTGATCCCGACGTAGCTGGCGTCATGGATGGTCGAGTAATTTTGCGGAATGGCCGTCGGGAACGGAATGGTATCCGCGTTTCTGGAGAAGCCGAGAGAGCGGAGCTTAAACGACGGTCAAGGAGTGAAGGACCAAACCGAAGGATTCGTCAGTCTATGGATGAGCGAGAAAATGGCAGGAAGCTGGCGTGTGATGGGGGAGGAAGAGGTCGGAAGTTGCAAGAATCATCTGATTCCGATGATAGTGAAGGAAATGCCCGGGTGACTGCTGGATGTGTGGGCTTTGATTCGGATTCAGATAGTGATCGGATGAAGTGGAACAAAAACCCGCTTGTCGTGCGCAGAGTTAAACGCTCTGATAAAATGAAACAGGCTGAGAAACGACTGAGTGGGACGGAGAATGGCACGGCTGCTAACAGAGACAGTTGGGTTTACTACGGGCATGAGGAGAACAGGACGGATAGTCAAGGAGGAGGTAACTCTAGCTCCAGGGACAGCGGCAGCAGTAACAGAGGAAGCAGTAAGTATCAAAAGCTGGAAGAAATGAGAAAGAAACGAATAAATTTAGCAGTGACTTCAGATGAAGAAACCACTCCAGCGTCGAGGATATCCAGGTTACGTCAGAGAGCTTTACAAGGTGGACTTGGGGAACAGCTTAAGTCTTCTCGTTTATCAGGAACCTCTAATGAGAGCGCCGCGTGGGACGATGGGAAAATGCGTCAACAACAAATCCAGGGAGTAGAACAGGTTGCTTACCCTGATTCTGCTTTTCATAGGGTTCATGGGAGTGGGTTAGCATCGGAGAGGTCACAGTTTGGATCAAGGATCAGCTCAGATAAACAGCCTTCCACATTTGGGCAGCAGAGTTACCAGGAAAGCCCTAAAAGAATTGAACCCTCATACTCTGCAAGTATATCATCACAAGTACAAGGTAACAAATCCATAGTAACCAAAACTAGCCTCTCATTGTCGGACTCTATGGTCGGTATTGAGCAACAACCCTCCAGACTTCAGCAGAAATCTGTCATGAACCAACAACTTCAGGCTCACAAACAACCTCCGGCGCGACCTCCTCCTCCGCTTATTACTGCCACCCGGCAGTCATTCTTCGCAATGCCAGAAGAAAAATCATCGCCAGCTGTAAGCAATAGTTCACTGGAAGTTGCTGTTCGGCGAATAACAACTCAGGTCCGTATTCCCTCAGTGGATTCAATTGTTACCTCGCCATTAAAATTGACTTCAGCCGCCGCAAGTACTAACCAGGCTGTGACTTTCTCCAACAATCTGCGACAGATCCAGGCAAGAGGAAGTCCTACACCAAATCAGGAGCTATTTCAGGTTTTAAACACCTCGAGGTCATCTGGACAATTCAACGACGTGGTAGAGATGAGGCTAAAGAATACACGCGATGGCCAGCCTCAGCCTCAGCCCAAAATTGCTAAGAAGCCTTATTCAAAGCCTTGTTCATTCGCCTGTGAGGATGACACTCTTGATGAGTTAATCGAGTCCAACATACAGTACTTAGATAGCGAGTTTGAAAAGTCAAAAGCAAAAAGAAATTCCAGCTCTAATGTCATTAGATCCTCGAGCCTACCTGATCCAAGACGGATGTCCACCACTGGGCCACGAGAGCAACCTTCTATTCAAGTTCAAGCTAGCACGAGCATTGAGTTTCACGTATCCTTGCCAGCTGAACCATTAGGGGCACCCCTAATACAAATAGCTCCATACAATGCCACCAACTACCAGTCCGAATATGCATATGACAACCACTTGAGGTCCCAACCCGACGTCGTGCCCAGGAAGTTTTCCTATGACAGTCACTCCAGAATGTCCCGTCCAAACAGCGAGTACTATGACAGAGATGACATGTCCAAGTCTGACAGCCAGCTCAATGCTCAGATTGTGATTCCTAGTTACCTTAGCAACAGCCTTCACCCCGATCAAGCATACGCCAGGGTATGTGTCAGTGACATCAACCTCAGATCTGACACTGGAAACGAGCTGAACGTTCCTCAGGTAGACAAAGGCATGTTTTCTGATGTTGAGTACGACATCGAAGTCTCTGAACGAGTCAAGAAATGGGAAAAATTTATGAAAAACAAAGATGGTCAGATTCCCAATGAAAAGAAAAATTTGAATTTGACAACAATACAAGAAAACATCGAAGGTGATTCTCTTATGCTGCCAAGTGAAGTGAGGAAATCAGTTTTATTAAGTAGAAATTGTGATTTCGGCTCTCCATATACCAAAGACATTACTTATACCCCTCCAACCCGATCACGACCATTCAGCTCTGATACATCTTTAAATAGATGCCAGGAAGCAAACGAAGTCAGGATGTATTCCATGGATACTAATGCAAATCATATTGTCCATCTTGGTCAAGATCCCCCAGCAGGCCCTAGAATTGGCATTCAGTCACAGAGTGTCACTTCCTTGTTCCATACGCCAATGACCTCAAGGCCAGAAAAAGGCTTCCTCAGCGCCAATGAACTGCGCCAACAAATGCTAGCCAATCGTCAGTCAGCTCTTCCAAGTACCGGTGTACCTCGACGGGAAAATATGTTCTTATCCGAAACACATATATCTGAAAACAGTGCCTACACACCTCCAGATCTTGCTTTGCATAGATCAACTAATGTTCTTGACCTGCGCGATTATCCCAAACGATTGTCGAGATATCACGATGAACTCAGCGAAATTTCTAATGTCAAGACTGACTCTGTTATCAGTCTTAGACGTCGCTTTGACACAGACTCATCGACAATTACATCAGAAGATGATCGTACTTCAGTGTCAACATCTTCAACAAGACTACAGCCACAGTCTAAGGAATCGCCAACATTGGACTGGTCGTACATGCTACCTGGATATGAAAAGAAGATCAAAGACACGGATGTTTGGTCCCCAAATCTGGAGAGTACGCAAGGTGTCCCAGTGAGTATAGAACGAGTCACTGCACGCACTCTGCAAACAATCCCCTTCTCGGAAGATCCATTTTGGAAGGAGATTGAGGAGATGACCTCATTTGACCCCAGTAGCATGGCAGGGCATCTGAGTGTGAGTAAGTCTCAAGAACCAGGTTCTGCTGCAGAACTGGTCAGATCCCAGCATCAGATAGAACTCAATTCTCCACACAGCTCCACATTACCCAATCACACCCGAAACAGCACCACCCCAATTAAAGAACGGATGCAGAGATCAAAGTCTCTGTACACGCCAAACATCATACCGTTGTCAGTAAACGTGGCTGACAAATCACCGTCGCGAGCTGTCAGTGCTCTGGATGAAGTCCTGGAGGACATCAGCAGGTCTTCCTTGGAACGAAAACAGTTAAGTCCTAAAAAGAGAGCGCTTGATTCGGACATGGTAACATTCACACACTCCTGCATGACAAATGTCCCAGGTCATGTCAAAGGAAGACAAGACCAACCACAGCCTGGGTTCAAGTTTGAAGGGGGGCAATTGACTTTCATGAACCCTCACAGTGAGACCCACGCACCGAAACCGCTGTCCTCGGGAGGTCTACGGCAGGATCCGTCTGAAAAAGTGAAGCAGCCATTACAGTTTTATCAACAGCAGAGGCAGCAGTCACAACAACAGCAGAGCCAGAACAGACAGTCGCAGGTGTTGTCTGGTAGTATCAACAGTTATCATTTGGACCCAGCTGTTCTCAAGCAGAAGTTGTTGAGTACAGGTCTGGTTGTGGAAACAGACACGGAAGAACCAGTAAGCTTGAAGCAGTCTCGAAGTTCTTCTCTCGGAGCAGTGAGTTCTGTTTTCCCTTGTCACACAACCACAACTCCAGCTTATACTTCTATCATGTCAAATTCTAATGCCAAAGCCCCTTTACAAAAACCGGTGAAAGCGACAAGTTTAATCTCATCCAGCCACTCTATTGAAACGTCTCTTGCGGCAGAAGGCACAGCGGCACCTTGGGCTGTAAAGCAGTCTGGTTCGAGTGCCCTTGATGATATCCAGAAAGCCTTAGCTCCGTTCCACTCCACCACCTACCAACCAGATGCTGAAGCACTATACGGCACTTCGCGATTACAGTCCTTCAATGAGCCCAACTTTGACACGACAAAAGGCCCGCAAACAAAAACAACCAGTTGGACATACCAGCCCCAGTTCAAACACGGTGAACTAATTGATAGCAGTGATATCTCTTCCTCAAACTCTTTATCTCGACTCCAGCAGGTCAACGCATCAATGGATGACCTCAAAGATCTGGCTCAGAATGTGGAGAGAAAGATCAATGACATCAAAGGAAAACTTCAGACTGCAGATGATAAGAGCTTAGATTCCATTCTGGCCTCGCTGCGAAGATTAACTCCAGAAGTGAAGACACAAGATAAAGAGTCTGGAACTTTTGAGGATTACTACACGACCAAGAAATCCAAGCTCTCAGATGCCCTGCTGGAGCTCAACAGAATCTACAATGAATTAGAGCTAAACAATGGGAATTTTCACCCATCTTCTCAACGACAGAAACAGAAGCAATATACAACAAGCAAATCTAGTGATTTCTTCCTTACCCCTCAACTAAAGTCGGAACATTTGAGACCAATGCAGACACGCATATCTTCAGTCTTTATTCCAGGCCTGGAGTTCAAAAACAGGATTCATCTGGACAAAGAAACAGAGTCAGAATTTGATATCCTGTCTAAATCTTTCCAAGCAATTGTTGATGAAGTGAATCAAACGACTGATATGTTCTCGCGATCTACAGACCACAACAAAGCAGAAAACACAGCTCCAGAAACTCAGAAACAGACAACAAGAATTGTCTTGAAAACTGAAGGTGTTCCACCAGCAAGGACTTTAATGTCGTCCAGCACAGACAGTTCTTTGACAACTAAAGTACCTCCAGCTATTGCTCCAAAGCCACAAGAAGCGAAGGCAAAAGGAGGGCGATTCAGATCCAAACTGCAAGAAAGTGCAACAGAAGAAGAATCTAGTGTGAAACGGCTCAGATCTAAATCTGTCCCAGAACTCGACTCGAACATGAAAGAGCTGATTGGAGCCGTGAAGGAGAACACGTCTAGTAGCCGTAATGTGGGGCAAGCAACATCCTCAGCCACAATAACATTAGTGGAGACGTCTGGGATAGATACAGCTGTACAAGCATCCTCTCCATCTGTGAGACAACGCACGCGAGTTCGACCAGTCAGAGATAACAAGATTATTCAAGATGATAGAACCACCAAACAGTATGGTTCTGAAGTCACCCCTTCCCCACAGCCCTCCCCCATTGTTTCTAGGAAAATTATATACAGCAGTTGTCTGGAAGATACAGCAGCTCAATTCACAACACAAGAACCAACAGAAGAAGTAGCAGAGGCAACAAATCTGTCGAAGCAGCAAACACAGGTCGCACAGCAGGCCCAAGCTGTTACAGATATAAAGGCAGCATTGGTTTCTTCCCCTGCTTCTCTGAAGAAAATCCCACCTCCGACTGCCACCAAACCAAGTTCGCGGTCAGAGACTTTCGTATCTGCATTGTCAACGGAGATGCCGTGCGTCAATGACTCCGCAAAAAGCCTCACGGAAAGAGTTCTTGATACTCAATCAAGTAACACAATCAAGCCCGTATTTGCTCGATCGGAGACGCCTGTGTCCATGTCGTCAACGGAGATGCCATGCGTCAATGTGTCCTCCAAAAGGCTCAAAGAAAGAGTCCCCGATACTCAACAATCAAGCAACACGAACAAATCCACCGTGGCACAACGCCGAGGCAGTCAGCACAACCAGCCAGAGTGTGCTCCAGAGGTTCACCTCTTACATCCTGCTGTGGAGAAACCATCAGAAGCTGGAACAAAGACAGATAAGGCTGAGACAAGTGTCAGTGCAGACAGTAGGTCCAAGAGACGCCTAGGCTCAGGTGTAGCCTCGATGTTAGATAAGTTTAGCACAGGTGATGAGACAGGTGATAAGATAAGGACAAGGCTAGGTGCACAGAGTGCTCCAGATCTGACCGAATCACTCCAAGAAGGCGTTGACGTGATGGATAACAGCGAAGCGGGTAGTCTAAAGAAAACAGCCTCTACAGTTAAAACACAGACAAAACAATCCTCAGAGAGTAAATCTACACCAACAAAAATTATGAAGTCACCAGCTCAAAGACCAGTCGAGAAAAGAACTCCAGTTCACGCCACAGACGCCAATAAAGGACAGGTTACAAAGCCTATATTTACATCATCGATAGATAAAAAGATCCCTGAACCCGAATCTAAGACCACGAGTTCTGAAACATCGTCGCCACAACCTTCATCTCCAGTCAACAAACCACCTCATCATCCTTGGAAACGTCAAACGTCCGACCCAGATAAACAGAATATATTGGAGACTGCCGTCGAACCAAGTGTTGCTTCTCCTAAATTTGTCTCCAAGATTCCCCGGCTAGTCACAACACCCAGACCCAGTGCCGCATCAAGCACATCTGAGGACAGCTCTACCCGCAAGGCCAGGGAGCCTCGTCCTAAAGTTGACTCCCCAAGAGCAGTGCCCAGACGAGTACGACCAGCGGAGAGAAAAATGCAGAAGGACATGTTGAGAGAAAGGCCTCACAGTTTTCATGAATTGATTTCTTGCTCCGAGAAATACCCGACAAGTCTTCAGGCGTGCCAAGCATTGCGCAAGTATGCCTCGGCCGATGAAGTCCATTCAGAGAAGCTGGTTAGTAAAGTGTTCCGATCTGAGACAAGCCCCCTGAGAAAGAGAACTAAAGACAACAAAGCAATGTTACTGAAACTTGAACTGAAGGTGAAAAGCTGATGGTTGACCTCCGACGTGCTGAAGCGGAAGCTTGGAATCGGTAAAATATGTGTATGGGTTGATTGTGTCGCTGCTGTTGCTGAATCTTCTTTTGTTATTTGGATGTTTTCACTGTCATACTGTCATTTGCAGCGTATTCTTCTGCATCTTGTTTTGAGTCGTATTCTTGTTCTCCTCTTTCTCCTCCTCTTTTTCTTCTTCTTCATATCTTTGCTGCTATTTTCCGTGCTCCTTAGTTGAGTTTGCAAAATCAGTAAATACATTTGCAGCATCATTATTACCATTTGTTGTAGTTGCAGTAGCCATAGTTGCTACAATATCAGTTGTAGCTGCGGTAGTAATAGTTACAGTTGTAGTTGCAATAGTTACAACTGTAATAATATCAGTTGTAGCAATAGTTACAGTTGTAACATCACTAGCTGAAGTGGCAGTAGCAATAGTTACAGTTGTAACATCATTAGTTTTAATAGAAAAAGCTGCAGTTGTCCTAAAATGAGTTTCAGTGACAAAACTTAGAGCCGGACTTTTCTTCAAAAATGACCTTGGCTCCCAGATCGACCCAGCCTTGAGTAGGTACCGGGTGCAGTCCAAGGAAGTAGAGGCGGCCGGCGTGATGCTGACCACATCACCTTTCTTGTGCCGTTGGTCTATAAAAATATAGGTCTAGCCCTATATGCCCTATACGCCTAGAGGCGGGGAAAGCATCCTTTACTTACTTTTTTTTTTACAGAACTTAACATCAAAAAGCGATAAGTAAAGGACCTTTTTCTTGAGCTTTAACTTTAGCTTTGACCGCCAGTTGTACATTGAGCATATGATGCTAAACTACAACACGGTTTTTTTAAAAACCTTATTGTGGTGTTAGAAAGTGGAAGAATCGAACATCATCATCATTGCCCTGGGGTGCCATTATGTGTCACATAGAGCTCGAAGTCTTATTAGCCGACCACGGACGGGGAAAGTCCCTGGTCACGGGACAGTCAAATACTTCAGGGAATGGTAAATTAGTCGTATAGTATTGGTTAGGTCTAGGCAAACGCTTGAAAACCTTATCCTTGGAAGAAACGCACTAAAGCACAGCAACCACGGAAAAACGCTCTTTTTACCCTTTAACATATTGTACTGTCCCGTGACGTCATTTGTCGTCGGCTAAAAAGAAATCACTGTCTGCTCCTTCATTCTGTTCCATTCTGTGCGATCAGTTCAATATATCATGAATGGAATCCAATCCAGCACCCATGGTCTCTCTAAACAGTGTTCGTTTTAAGATTTTTTTGTGGGGCGTCCTTGCCTCCACAATCCCTCTATTTCCCATTTCAGTACCTGTTGGGTGATTTTCTACTGGTTTCTTTTCAGGATGTGTGCAATGCAGCACCATCTTCTCTGTCTTATAACTGTTGATACTAGTGGTTGCCCAAACATTTCCTCATATTTCTGCATCCCTTTTGAATTCATCTCATTTGATTTTCATAATTTTCATCAGACATTTGTTTTCGAATTCATATAACTTTCATTCATTACCTAAGTGGTTCTGCAACTTTCGCTTGCATATGCTAAAATTGAAATACTGAAATAACTTTAAAAGTGAAAATATGTAATTTGGTTTTAAGACTATACAGTCCTAGCAATAGTTGTCCCCTCATGGGATGCAATTTTTTGTTTGAAGCCCCACCCTGGCTTCCTCCAGGGGCCCTGAATAAAGCCAGGGCATAGATATGGTATAGCCATAGCAAATATAGCCCTATGTGACATAGCCTAACGACTGAAAGGCGTTTTTTTTTTTTACCTGTCCATGGGTGATCCTCATCCGCATGGTGGCACTTTGTGTCACCAGGTGTTTATCGCTTGTGTGATGTCCTGGTGGGGTACAACCACCTACCTACCTACCTACATGTACATTTTAGAGTTTCATATCATGTTCAGGTTATTAAAAGCTGCTGATGCCTTTTCAATGTGTGTCATAATTTCTTTCTTTGTATTTCCTTTACTATCAAAATTACTACCTAAATAAGTAAATAGATCTCTTTAATTACTTTTGTCTTTAGTGTTACGTATGCTTGATCAGTTGTTATTGTCTTCAATATATTTGTCTTTTTATTACTTATTTGTAGTCCTTTAATGCTATATTTGGTAAACCGTCTGAGTTTCTTTGCACCTGTTGCACTACATTTGTAATACTATTACTGACGGAAGCAATAACATGTGATCACAGTTTAACAATATTCTGAACAATTCCATTTAGTTTCATCGTATTTCAACTATAAATGTTTGTATTTTTATTTTATTTAGGAGAACTCAGCAGATTTGACAACAAAACAAGGAGAAATGTCCGAGATGTCTTTCCGAAATGACGTCCACATGTGGAATCAACCTGCACTGTATATTATCTTGAATATGCCTCTGACAGTATTTTCCAACTGAAACACGGCATTCTACACAAGGGTGGGAGAATAGTGGTTCAGTAATTATGTTGACAGAGTGAGCTATTTTTTGATTTGTGAAAGGCATAGACAATTAATATAAGAAAACACATTACTGGCCTTATCCTGTCGGACACACATCTAAAGTTTATTGTTTCTTTCTGCTAATACCGAGCTTGAATCTCTAGCTTGTTATGCGTTTTACCATTCTTCTGATGTTGCTGTGTTCTTTGACACTTATTTATTTAGTCTTCGCCTGGCTTTTATCACCCACTTGAGCGTAGGCACCAAGCTTTCTTATTCTTTGCTTTTTACTTCATGAACCTCAAATGTTCAACTTTTTGGGGGTTTTTCATGATACCTTTGACCTTGTGACTTCCAATGCAAAAATGTTCCAGTTTTTTCTTCTTCTTCTATATTAGCTAACAAAAAGGCGGTGGGCCATGTTGTGGTTTACAGCATGGCTGTGCCTTTTGTCCCAACATATGCAATTTGGGCAGACCCCTAATGAATCTTTTTATCTTTCTTTTTTTACCAGGCTATTTAAGGGGGTAGTGGGTCTGTGCCCCCCCCCCCCTAACATTTGCACACAAATGGGGATCGGAAATCACACAGGGATCTGGTTATATTATTACCAAATATTGTCCCTGTAGTTTCGATTTAAAACCAATGTTTTTTCCTCAATTTGTTTAGTTTTGCCTTAAAACTCCATACCATAGCAATATAAGTGATTCTGTCATAACATTTTATTCTCTATATCGTATGCAAGCACTAGTTAATAAATGTTCATAATTTATTAGTCAATGCCTACATTTTTTTGAGGGTTTCTCCATAGAGCAGTTCTGATTCGAAGAAAGATATGTCTTCCACAGTGCTTTTTATGTCCAGTGAATATCCCATTTATTATTTTATGTGTGGAAAAGACTGTTAGAAGACGCAATAGTGACAATTAAACTGCTCTATCTGAGGGGTTATGAATTATACATTCATAGTAACAAGAACTAATTGTACAACTAAATATGCAATAGCTGGGTGTGCAATCTGACGTGCAATAAGTTGTTATACAGCGAGACATGCAAGAACTGATTGAACAACTAAATATTGCACAAAGTCATGAAACAATTGCATATGCAAGAACTGATGGTACAACCAGATGTTCAAGAACTGATTAAACAACTTGATGTGCAAGAACTGATTAAACAACTAGATGTCCAAGAACTGATTAAGCAACTACATGTGCAAGAATTGATGGGACAACTTTTCACGTCAGAACTGATAAAACAAGTAAATATGCAAGATTTGATAGTACAACTTTTCCTGTGAGAACTGATGCAACAATTAATGTGAGAACTGATGAAACAATTAATGTGAGAACTGATAGAACAATTAATGTGAGAACTGATGGCTAAATTAGATGTGCTAGTCACGTACTCATAAATGATTCACATATTTAGCACAGTGGCGTTTGAACTAATTGGATTGTTCAACACTCATAATTGAATATACCTTTTCAGAAAATCAAAGCAATGTTTCCCTGTTGTAAATTTGAACAAAGAAGTCACAAACAATAGATTGCGCACCTGACTAGACACAGCAAAATATGCCAGGCAATAAATTGTGCAGTCTATTGTTTGTGTCTTCTTTGTTCAAATATATCTTTGTTAACTGAGGTGATTAGGAAAGTACTTGAGAGCTATATAGTGTCAGTCCTGATATGTGGATGTGAATCATGGACAATCATCATGTTAGTGAGAAACTGTGAAATCTGCAGGCGTGATGACAAAAAGAATAATAAGAACGTCATAAACAGATACAATTTAAAATAAAAATGTCTTGAAGAAAATTAACTCACAGAGAGACCCAATCAGAAGTAGACAACCCATATTTTTGGACAGATCATGAAAAGAAAAATAAACTGATTTACACTGTGACAACAAGAGTGAACAAATGAGTGAACAATTTTTATTATCAAAGGGTCACAAACTGGGCACACAGGCCCATCTTAGATGGAGAGAAAAAGAGGCAGGGAAGAGAATGACTGAGAAGTTTGGCATCATGACATTGAGGAACAACTATTTCAGAAGTGAGTGGCAGTACTTAAAACAGAAGGCTGTGAAGAGGACATAATGACCAAGCTGTACGGCATGGACTCTGAGAAATGAGCCAGCAGTGAAACAGTTTTGACAAAGTCAAAATACCAAGGATCTGACAGATTAAAAAAAACAGTTACCATTACAGCTACATTTATACGTCTTTCGAACTTTCGACAGGAAATAATGTGGAACAAATATTGTAAACAAATCCTGTGTAAATGCAGCATACAATGGGTTATGTTTTGTTTTGTTTTTCCATGTCTTGAAGTAAATCAATGTTTTGAAGTGACTACCATTATTGTCATTTTCAGAAAATTATTTGCTTAGCTAGGTTAGTTTGTGAGAATACGTAGTTAGCAGGCCAGTGTGTTTCCTCACAAGGCTTATTGTTGTGCCTGTTCTACTACTGAGTTGTTACTGCTGCTACTGCTGCTGCTACTACTACTACTACTACTACTACTACTACTACTACTACTATTACCACTTCGACTAGCATTACTACTGTTATTACTTCTAAAACGCCTACTACTATTACTACTACTGAAACTTTATCTACTGTTGCTAATCATATGCTTTATTGTTGTGCCTACTCTACTGCTACTTTTACCGCTGCTATCTCTACTACTACCTCCACTATCATTACTACTATTATAACTTTTCAGATGTCTATGCCTCCTACTACTACTACCATTACTATTGCTACTACTGCCCCTAATGCTACTACTGCTACTACATCTAATATTACTACTACTATCACTTATACAAAGATTACTTCTATTACCACCATTACTACTGCTACTGCCATTACTGGTATTATTTGAACTTGTAAGTATAGTAATTGCAATCGCTTATAATGCATGTGCTACAGTTTTAGCCCTATCACTTTCATCACCACAGTAATAATTATGATGGTGACAGATATTATAATTACTGTTGTTATTATTACTACTACTGTGTTTTCAACATAATGTAAACTGGCAAGACTTGATCATGTAGTCTGCCTCAACCATGTGGTGGAAACTACTCTCATGGCTCTAGCTGTAGACTAGTGACGAGAAACACAAATACATGAAAGCAATCCTGCTTGGATCATGCCAGAAAAAGGCTAATGGCATTGTAGTTTCACATCAAAATGGCAAAATACCATTACCATATAATGGAAAGACTAGAGCAAGTCATTGTTCTGCACCTTAGAACAGGACACAATGGACTTTGCAGCCACATGTACACAAAATGCAAGATTGGTGAATCAGCCATGTGTACATGTGGGTTAGCACCTGAGACAACAGACCATGTCCTCCAGGATGTTACAAATACAACATATCAAGGTAAATTTTTGGCCAAGTGAAACACTGGTGCAAGCCAAACTTGGATCATCGATTAAATTACAATAGACAGTGAAGTTTATACTAGAGACAGCATTGCAGACATAAATAATCTATTTCAAGAAGAAGTGTAATTTCACCAAGAAATCCTTCACGATCATGTTAGAGAGTGGGCGGCAATCCACAGTTTAGTCACACATAGAAGTGGTAGTAATTTATAAAATGATATTCTCTTTAACTCTTCATTATTACAATTGGGATGGATAGAGGTTTTCTTCTGGGTTTTTTTTTTTTTTTTTTAGTAGGCCCTATTGGATATTATTGCTTATTAGTTAACTGTTACTCTTTAATATTGTGTAGATTATGTATTAATTGTAACATATTGTAGGAGTACAGATTGTGAATTCTTTCTGCCTCAAAACAACGCAGCATGTGTGTTCAGCTTATGTCTGTGTGTATCAGCATAAAACATAGTGTGTTATTTATTTCAAGTTTGGTCTGGATGTGCAAAAGAAATCTGGTCAAATATTTCAAATGCAGCCCAACATATGCTATATCTTTGAAAGATAAACACTGATACCCTTTTCACTGTGATTATTGCACACACTGGGTTTCTACTTTGAAACTGTCTGGGATTGAAAGAATTACGTGTATTTCTGGTCAGATCACAGTTAAGAAAGAGCAGGGGACTTCAGTGTAGCCATGGGTCATGCATTTCCAAGAAGATAGAGAGCAGTGGGAGAGCATGACCCTGGATATATCTTTAACAGCATTTTCCAACCAGTGCACTGCATAGCCCTAAGGGTCCAGGTGCATTTTCTAGAAGCTCCAAATTTGTTCCAGGAAAATGAAAAAAATTTAATGAAAGTAAAGATGAAATCTTTCAGTTCCAGGAGGTTTCACAGAAGATATCAAAGTGAACAAATTACTGTGACTACAATTTTTAAAAATCATTAATGCATTGCTTTTAAAGTGTCAATAAACACGGTTGTAGAGACGACCACTGGGAGAACATTGGCTGTGCCCTCAGAATAGATAAGACTAGACTCCCCCCATCAAGCCCTCATATGGACATCAGAAACGAACAGAAAACGGGGAAGACCAAGAGAGACAGTGTGAAGAACCTTCATCAGGGAAGGCTCAAGTATGGGCCTAATGAACATTCAAGAACTTAAACAAGTGGCAACGAACATACAAACATGGAGAGCTATGACCTCTGCCCTATGCCCTCCGTCCCCCCCAAGCTCAGTAGGAAAGACTAAGACTAAGTAACTGGGAAAAAGTCAGATTTCTGAAATAGATTCTGACCAAATGTTAAAAGTAAGGGAGCACATTAGGAACAGTGTCATTCACACACCATGTATTGCTTGCGACTGAAAATGTAAAGAAACAAAAAAAATTCACTATATAACAGTTCAGATATAGCTTGACTTTAAATTCCTTTACCATCTATCTCCTCTTCCTCCACCCTTTAGCAATACTTCTAAACACCATTAATTGTCAAGACATGGGGTATGGTAGGCTCAAGGCAATGTTCTTCAACCTGCGGGCTGTAGCCCATTCATAATGGGCTATGGCAAACAATCCAGCTGCATCAATAATTTCACTCATTTTTTTTTAAACTATAATTTTTATCTGATTATTATCATTATTATTTTTAGTTCTAGCTAATGTTTTTTTTAGCTTTGTAAACTTGACTATTTAATTTGTGTTTGTAAAATTGACTACTTAACTTGTGTTTGGCCCATAAGCACAGTATTACTGTTAAAGCTTCCATATTAATTGGCTTCAATGCTCATCTGCAAGTTGGTGGGCATGTCGAAAAATCAACTTTGAGCTGGGAGGTTTCTGTTTACTGACTTTAGCCCCTTAGGTGGCCCCAGCCTAGAAATTGTTTTGGGAAGTAAAGGCAGTTGGTGTGATACTGACCGCATTAGCTATCCAAGTAATGATTAAGTTAGCATCATATACTCACTAAGCCTCACTGTGCAAAAAAACGGACCCAGTACTATTTTGACTTAACTGAAAGTGTCTTTGGGCTATCCTCCGACTAATGGTCAGTAAAGATGGCAGCTGCAAAATATCCTTTCGAGCCACAGTCACGTGCTGTTTTCTGGCGACAACCGCCAACGTGTCACCCACGCCGCATGAGCGGTGTGGAATGGGGCTAAACTAGATGGCTAGGACCCACGAGCAGCAGCCACGGTGTGCTCGTGACCGCCAGTGCGCAGTTGACACGTGACTGTGGCTCGAAAGGATATTTTGCGGCCGCCATCTTTACTGACCATTAGTCGGAGGATAGCCGTGTCTTTGATTTCTGTTCAGCAAAGATATACACTATTTAATTAGCCATATTCGTTTGTTTTTCCCCATATTCTGCGTTATTTCAAGTGAAAAACTATTAAATTATTTTATTCATGTATACTTTTTATGATGATATGGACTGCATGTACAATGACTTGCTATATAAAACGTGTATTATTGTGATTAACTTTGTGTTGTTTCTTTTCTGAAAGTGTGCTAAATATTCATACTGTTGGGCCAGGCAGGAAATATGAAGCTCTAGACACAGGACAGGTGTAACAAGCAAACACTGAATTAGAAACGATGATATCAGGAGGAGAATCGGCACAGAACAAGTACTGAACTTTATAGGTAGACAACAATGGTCTGACCATGTAACAAGACTGGCATCAGAGAGGGCACTACAGAGAGCAATGTTACACAGCCACAGCGGTAACAGTTTCAGGGTCGCCCACGCAGAAGATGGATCACAGAAATATCAAAAACACTCAAAAGTACTTTATATGGAGCGAGTAGAAGGGCTTGTTCCAGAGGTCTCCTCCTGCTCTGATGCTGAGAGGCATTCCAGGTGTAGAAAAATTAAGATACTAGACTTCAGTATGCAGAAGATTTAGAGCAAACACTTCAAATGAGGAAGGGACTCAACAAGATCTAATTTATGTAAAGCTAGAAAGAAATATGCAAAGTGAAAGAGATCGTTTCAAACTGAAGAAAATAATTTTTTATACTCCTTACCAGTCAAAACATACTTGAGACTGAGTAGCAAGGTGTATATTGAATTGCAGACACAATCTTGAGAATTTAGTGTAATATAACTAGACAAATAAAGGGAAAAGTATCTTTAAAATATAATAAAACAAAGAAACGGCATCACTAGTCGCTCTTTTGTTTTTGTTTTTTTAAATCTATTGCCATAGAATTTTCAACTCTTTCATGGTCTCTTGATTAATGTTAGTGATCTTAATCTTCAAAGCTACAAGTTCTTGCTATAGGTCTCTTAGTTTCTTTAAAATAACTATAGTATTAGCAGGAGAAGTATCAGCAGCAGCAATAGAAGTAGCAGCAGCAGCAATAGTAGTAGCAGCAGTAACACTAGTAACACCACCACCAGCAGCAGTGCTAGTAACAGTAATATCAGCAGCAGTAGTCGTAGCATCATCAGTATAGAGAAGAAGGTGGAAGATAAAATAGAGAAGTAGAGGAAATAGGGTAGAAGAGAATAAGAAGAGGAAGAATTCTGAAGGTTAGGATGGTGGTCTGGACTATAAATATAATAGTGATGCAAATGATGGAAAACACAAAGCAGAAACTAATGACAAATACTTTTTTTTTCATTTATATTATTTTATCTGATAACTACTTTGATGTGATTTTGTTTGTGTTTTGATTGTATCACTTCCAGATAGGGCAGATGAATACAATCAAGGTTCCTCTTTACTCACATCAGGGTAGGCAGAAATAAATCTGTAACTAAGCATCACAACATTAACAATAAATCATTAATAGAAACGCTGTAAAAATATGTCAATAAAATTAATCAATGCCTGAATATTAAACAGCATTAAAAGTCTATCGCTAAGCATCAGTAAGAAAATCAAAGTCAACATTTTGAAAGCAAGTATCTTCCCTAGGGCTAAATGAAATCCTCACCTGCACAGTCGTGTCGACAGGACTAGCCATAAGGCCGTAAAGCCTCAGGCTCAAAGACTCACCTGCCTACACTGTAAAAATTGTATAATAAAGGCAGTATTTGGCAGTTTTTTGTTTTTTTTTTTGTCAGTAACTTCCCTGTAGCAACATACGGTTGTGAGATGGACTTTCTCGCATAAAATTAGGAAGAAAATAAAAGTCTATGAACTGAAATGTTTTAGAAAGATTCTCAAAGTAACATGGACCAAGAAGAAAAATACTGAAATATTAAAACATCTGATCATCAAGGAAGACTGGCTAGTAAAGAGCATCCCGTCTGGGGGTCTCCATGGTGAAGTGGTCAAGCTGTTTGCCTCACACTCTGAAGGTCTTGGGTTCGTTTCGCGGCGGCACCATTCAGTTCATAAAGGTCACATTTTACGGACTTCCCTGGGGATTGTCATCCGAGCTATGGAGGTCATGTTTTGTGCAAAGCTCTTAGCAGATAGCTGGCTATTCTGCAGAGAGAGGCTGAGCCATACTAGATAAAACCCAATGCAATGAAGTCGATCCTCTCAACTTTACCTTTATCTTTACCTTACCTTATCTTGTCTGGGATCTAGACAAATTTTGGCTATATCAACTGCCACAGTGGAAAGAGAGGCAGGGGCTGACCAGCATGAAGATATAAGAGACATCTTGGGTAGGAAAGTACATGGGGTGAGAGAGTTGGTGAGAGATTGAGTTTCTATCAGGCAAGCTTTGATAAGAGCAATGTTTTGCAAAGCACCTGCTACATGATGATGATGATGATAATGCATGAATTCATTATTTGTCACTGAATTTAAAACAAGACTGTGATGGAGGGAGAGGAAAACAATCACACAAAAAACCAACATTCTGACCAAGGTCTTTATCAACTGACAATAAAACAGAAGCATAAACAATCAGCAGGGATACATAATTATTATTATTCTTTTCATTCTTCTTCTTACATTCCTCCTCATTCTCCTCCTGCAGCTGTTGCTACTACTTCTTCTTCTTCTTCTTCTTATTTTTATTATTATTATTATTCCACCACACCTTTCTCCCTCTTCTTTTCTCCTTAGTGAGTAAACTAAGTGAAACACTAACCTCATCTATCTCTCCAACAAAACGAGTCTCTGGACTGCTCATACACTGGCCTATTACCACGGGTGAGGGCCTCGTCTCAATGTTGCCTGTAAGAATATAAATGCTTATGTTAAAAATTAACAGTAATCACATGTGATTAAATATCCCCTGTGGTGTAGAGTTAGAAGCTCATCTGTGGATCAGATGGTCATGGGTTCTGGTTCGGGTCCTGACGGAGCCTAAATTTTTTTTTAATGACCTTGGTTCATTTAAAAAAAATTATTTTCATGTCATAGAACTGAAATATTTTGGTCATATCAAGCGCCACGGCGGATAAGAAAAAATTATAGTGGAAGGCATGGTACCAGGAAGGAGGAGCAGGGGCTGACAGACACGAAGATGGGCACAGGATATAAGTGACTCCTTGAGTGTGAAAGTGCATGAGGCGGGAGAACTGGTGAGAGACCGAGTTTCTTTCAGGCAGACTGCGATGTTCTGCAAAGGACCTGCTACATGATGATGATGATGACCTTGGTTCTCAGGTCGACCCAATCCTGAGTGGGTACCAGGTATAGTCCTGGGAAGTAATGGTGGCCGGTGTGATGTTGGCCACATCATCTACTGAAATTAACTGACTTATGAAAAGAACTGAATGCCCATACCAGGAGACAATCCAGATTCTTTGATTATGACATGAGAAGGAAAAAGCTGGAGTATATCGTGACAGTAGGGAAGTTGGAGGAGAAGAGACAGAGGGAGATGAGAGAGAAGATGATCATCATCCTCATCATCAGGTGCCTAGCCAACTGGCGTGGGTGATCATGCCTCTCCATAATCTGCGATCTCCTGCAGCATGTATCAATTTGTGTGCCGACACGCCTCCATGCCATGCAACAAGACTGTCAAGCATCTTCTCTCGTTGTCTTCCTCTATCTCTCCTTGAAGAATGATAACAGTTTGATATCATGGCATGGAGAATCATCATCTGTGTCAGGAGTTGACTGAAATATGTGGGACAGAAAGTTGTGGATAAGATTAATTACTATTGCCACACAGTATGGACTTTGAGAAGCAGAAGAAATGTAGTAACTTCTTATCTTCTTTAGCATTTCGGGCCCTTGAGCTTCATTGTCCCAGATAGCACCAGCCACCATAAATCTCTGTGATTGGCCCTCTCTTTCCAGTTTGAGACTCTAAGTGTTTGTAGGACTTCTTGGATATTATCTCTCCACTATCTTCTTTATCTGCCTCACGGCCTATGGCCATTTAACTTCCTTTTGTACAGTTTTATCTTTCTGTCATCTGCCTCTCTCTCTCTCTCTCTCTCTCTCTCTCTATATATATATATATATATATATATATATATATATATATATATATATATATATATCCCAGCCATTTCAGTCTAATAACCCTTATGATGCTAGTGATTATTGTTTAAAAAAAAAACATTAAATAAAAGTTATTACACTAATATTATCAAGAGGTGAAAGTCATCTCAATGAGGTAAAAGTTCTAATAATGAGGTAAAAAAAAAAAAACAATGGTAATTTACTGACATTGAGATAAAAATAAAAGAAACCACAATGAGGGGAAAGTTATGATAATGAGGTAAAGGCAATCACAGAAATTGCTCTGTATATAAAATGCTGTGAACTTCATAAGTATGACCCTACAGTATTGTGTGGTGCGGTCACCAGTAGCATTATCTGATGGGCTCTTTACCTTCTCCATATAGAGAATAGAGTTTTAGTATCAATTCAATATGTGAAGTATAGTGTTGTTGTGATTATCCTTTATCCTTTCAAACTGTGTGTGTGCATGCATGCCTGCACACACAGACACATACAGACAAACATTTTAATATATGTGTGGTGTGTGTTGTGGGGTTTCCGTCTGTATGTGTGGATGTCTGTATGCATGTATATATGTACTTGAGTCAGTGGGTGTATGTTTGTATGTATTCATATATATGGAAGTCACAGTGGTGTAGTAGCTAGATGCTTTCTTGCCAGCCTGAAGACTTGGGTTCGATTCTACACTGAGACATATTTTTGGACTAATTGTCAAATTCAGGGATGGATAGTAGACAAACAAGTGAAATGACAGAATAAAATTGGATGTAGGATGTAGGTCACAAAGCTACCAATCATTTATGCATATAGACAGCATTGTTCACCTGATAGAGGAAGTTTACGGACATATCCGTTCACATAGCCGGTCACTTGTGAACCATCATAGGTGAACATGACATCGTTGAGTCCATCAGTCTGTGGATAAATGAATACGGGATATGGGACAAGGTCAACAGGGAGAAGGCAAAGAGGTAGTAACAGTAACAACAGCAACAGCAGCAGCAGTAGTGGTGGTGGTAGTGGTATTAGTTGTAGTAAATGTAGGAGCATCAGTAGCATCAGAAGAATATCAATAGTAATGGTTATTGTATTAGTAGTATTTGTTATTGTTGTTGTTGTTGTAAACTTTTACATTACTATTAGTATTAGCAGTAAATACAGGGAGAAACATTTTGTAGTAGAAGTTGTAATAGTAATAATAACAGTTGTAGCAGTATCTTTGATTTCTCCAATAACAGTAGTGAACAGTAATAAAAATATATTTGTAGTAGTAGTAGTAGAAGCAGCAGAAGCAGCAGCAGTAGTAGTAGTAGCAGTAGTAACAGCAGCAGAAGTAGTAGTAGTAGTAGTAGTAGTGGTCATCATAACAGTCATTTTAGTAGTAATAGTAATGTTAGTTTTAATAGTTGTAATACTAGTGGCAGGGACAAAGTGGGATCAGTTTGCATATTTAAGCATTAACAGGTAATGGTTACACTGAAGAGGATATCATGTGATATTTTCCTCCTCATTGCTTTGTTGCTGACAGTTTGCATATGCAGCTAGCACTGTAGGACTGGTATTATAGTTTCTGCATGAGTGGTGATAGCAAGGATGAACTGTTTTCCTCCTTATGTTCCAGACGTAAACTGATTGACATATTTGAGAAGAGTTGAATATTTGTAAATCTCTTACTGTGGGCAGAGATAGAGCTACAGGCCTAGAAGGTGCTTGTGAAGTGATCAAAGTCAGAGTGATATCGCTATCAGTGGCTGAAACACTGAGGGATGGCCCACTGGCTGATCCACAGTTGGAGATGATATCCATTGACTGAGATGCAGTTCTGGCGGCCCTGCGGCTTCTCTTGGCTGTTGATATAAACATCAGAAAATATTTATGACAGTTAAACAAGCATACAAAACAATCAAACACAGAAGTTCTGGCAAAACTGGTTATGAAAAGAGAGTTGCTGAAGTCAAATTTTTTTTAAAAGAAGGATTTAAAAAAAAAAAAATTAACATACTTTGGCCACTTTAAAAGACATAACACTCATATAAAACCATACTGGAAGGAAAAGTCAAAGGCATTAGCGCAGGAGGCAGACAACAATACAAGTAGAAGAACAACATCAAGAGATGGATGACCAGCAGTCTAAGAGAGTGTACAAACAAGACAAGATTCAGTGCGTGTTGGCGATCCATTGCAGCAAAATGTCACTGTGGAGACAGCACCTGGTTGATCAACTGATTGAGGGATAGAAGTGAACATTTATAATGTGTGCTTAAATCCGTCACTGAATACACGCAGTTCTGGCAGTAGGTTTGGAAAAAAATTATATCAGTGGCTACAAAAGAGACAATTCATAGATAGTTGGTTCACACAACTGTTGAGAGGGAAAGAAGCAAAGAATAGTAACATGGTACTTTACCAAGCATATCATAAGATGAGAGTGAGACTATGGTTGGCTGCCTTATCCTGTAAAAAAGCTTGAGCTGCAAAACTCAACCAACTATCAGTACAATGTTTTTTTATATAAGGACAGACTGCTCAATATTTGACTACTGTCATAAGGAATGGGAGCTGAGTGGTCTCAAGGTATGGTGTCCATCTCGAGTGCTGGAGGTCTGGGGTTAAAGCTGGGATTTTTTCATGTGGACTTCTTTCTAGTAATTTCCCCTGGTCTCTGGATAGTAAGATCGGACGCCCGTGTGTATTCTTGTGCATGCAAAAAATCCCTTCACAGTTGGAAATCGAAAAGAGTAGCCTAAACAGAGTTTAAAATCTACCCAAAGTATTTCAGGATCCTCGCCCGTGCAACGGAGTTCATTCACTGCACTGAAATTCTTCATACTCAGAGTTAGAAGTAGAACTGAGCACTTGTTACACCCGTGTGCCATGATGTGATCCGTCGAATAAAAATAAACACAACAAGTAACCCTTCCCCACTTCAGTCTTAGAAGTTAATATTTGAATACTTGCTACTACCACCAAGATCTCCACCTGGCTGGGCGCTGTCTCAGGCTTCCACATTAACCATGATGGCCTGTCTACTAATCTCAATCTGGTCCTTTCAAGTGAGACTCAGTTTCTTTTTTTTTTTTGCATTCACCTTTAAAAAAGTGACTGGCACATAATGTTGTGGTTTATAGTTAGGCTGTGATATCTTTCCATTTTGGCTCAACACATTTGATTTCAGCAATTTACCAGTTCATCACATTTTACAACAAATTTTTTTGAAGGAATGTGCATATCCCCCCTCCCCCTTTAAAATAGGATACTGGACCCAGACTTTTTAGGTTTTAACTCCTACATCCAAAGAATTTATGTGCCAATCTTTTCTGCCCAATAAAAGGTTTTCAAAGCCAGAAATTGGTGTCATGATTTTTTTCCCAAATCGGATACCCAAATTACATTTTTTTACAGTACCAAAATACCATCTCTACATTCTGTATCGCAAAACTCTGCTTTCCCTCTCTAAAGCTCAGAAACCCACAGGGTGTATAGCACAGGAATGTAAATTTACATCTGTGAAAGAAAAACACTGGCTATTCCGCCTGATGATGTAGCTATAACCTAGCATATATGAAAGCTCTCATTTCAACTCCCAGTGGTAATATCTGCAACCAGTATAAAAGTATATACCTATCACATAGGAGAAGGTTGGTTACGTCTGTTCTGTTGACTTTAAGCATATCTTTGTCAAACAAACCATAGACAAACTGTTCTTCTACAGCAGCAGCTCTCAACCTGTGGGTCGCGACCTTTTTTGTGTGTGGGTCAAACGACAATTTCACAGGGGTCACCTAAGACTTTCTGAAAACCCATTCATTGAAGTTTTGAAGTGGTAATGAAAATAATTTTATGGTTGGGGGTTGCCGCATCATGAGGAACTGTATTAAAGGGTTGTGGCATTAGGGAGGCTGAGAGCCACTGTTCTATAGCCTTCTACAAACAAAAATAATATATAACCCTTACCTGAAATCATAGCCAAGAGGTCAGGGGGTACATCTCCGACCCCTGACTTCACAGTCCCATCAGGCAATGTTATCTGCCATTTCTTATCAAAGTTTGTTCCCTGACTGTTCATCAGAGCCCTAATATCTTCAGGTATTTCTCCCTCCCCTGTCTTCACTGTCCCATCCGGTAGGTTAACAGTCCAGGTTTTCTTCAAATGACTTTTGGGATGATGTATCTGAAAATAAACAGAGAAATTAGGTCAATTAAACTGTAACCGTATACAGATTCAGGTGAAATTCTCACTGGAAAAAGACCAGTTATAACAGAATTATTATTTGTTTATTTGTTGTATCACAAAATACTAGATGACATGACACTTTGGAGACATGGGTACATGTTCAGCTTTTCCTAACAGATCTTTCTGGGTAGGAAATATTTCTCAGTCAGTTGATTTATACTTAGTAATTTAAACCATAAAATTGAATGCTCTATCTCGTAACACCAGGATCACAATAAATAAAACACAAATAAGATGTACTATCCTATAATACTCTCAGACCTGGAGAACTGCTAAATAAAGACAAAGCCTTAATGCAAACTATTGAGAAAAGTCTTAAGATAAATCTTTTTACCCATAAAAGAAGCAAAGAGTGGAGGATGGAAAGTGAGAAGCAGCAACGACTTTCTTCTCTTCTTCTTCATTTCCTCCCACTTACTTTATCGGGGGAAATGCAAGAAACATCTGTGATTCCTTTCCATTGTGTTGAATACACTGGCCATATCCGTTGTTGCTTGTTCTGAACAAATAAATTTTGACTAACAACTGCTGTTACCTCAGACGATAGCTGGAAATCGACCTTGACACAGTACGTCACTTACATTGAGTCTTCAGCTCTGTTATCAGCTGTCAAGTTCAATTGGTCCAACCAGCTGTGTTTTCGGGGCTGTTCCGGCCATCTTCTGTTGTTGTTTTTTGTCCCGGATGGTGTCCGTTTTAGAGCACCCAACTTGTAATATGCTCTGCTAGGGGCATGTGTTGTTAAGCCACATTGCTTTCAGAAGAACAGTACGTTGTCATGACACAGTATGAATGAATATTGAGTTGCGTGCTTTGATTTGTTGAATCAGCATATATCGCATGCATACATTCTTGTGTCCTCGTGCTCCTCTTGCTTGGCTGATTCTGGTGACCTGGTCAGACTTCTCGCACACTACATGAATCCATCAGCGTCTCTCGAATCATCCATCCATCCTTCACCAACCCTGGTACTTGACATTAAGACATGTGGAAACATTCAATCCTCCTTTCGAAATATAACACTCGTTTCACAATTCGTTCATTTTTCTCAGGCGTCCACGCATGCGACCTCTCTCAGCCAGGTCCAAACTTCAACTGTCTTACTCCTGTCTCTCCATTCACGTCTTACGTTCACATCTCATGCTTTTCTTGTGTCCCTCACTTCGCTCACCATGAGATACACGAGACCCACTTATCCCGTTTTTCTCTTCTATCACTGGTCCTCCGACCTTGTCCTCCCCATTGGGAACTCTCTGGGATTTCCCCGGGAATTCACAACATTACAATAAGCTGTATGACTGGTTCCATGTCTAGTCTTCTTCTAATTCCTTTTTTTTTTAAATTATATCCCTTCTTATTACTCTGGCAGATCTTCTAAGACATCTCTATAATGATTTTGCACTCATTAGTTTCAGAAAGGGTCAGAGTATGACACTGATAGCATACAAAGTAAAGTAAAAAGTAAAGATCCCTTTTCATGCCTTAGGCGCATCAGGCATATGGGAAGAGCGTCCCATATTTTTACAGACCAATCGGCACTGGATGGGTAATGTGGTCAGCATTACGCCGGCCGTCTTTACTTCCCCAGGACAGCCATCCTGGTACCCATTTTAGGCCTGATAGCATTCAGTTTGCCACACAAAAATAGTTCATATTAGATTCATTTTGGTAGACAAATGTATACTTCTATGAGTCCAAAGAAGCATTCATAATTTGTTTAAATCACTACCAGTTACTGGCATCGTGAGGGCTAACAGACTGCAAAGGTTGGGGTTGGGAGAGAATGGGAAAAAACAGAACGACAGAAACTGCACACACAAAAGAATTGAATAGGGTAGACCCTGAGGCAGACCAAGAAGAAAGTGGAGAGATAATATGCAGGCAGACCTACAAACCTATATAGTCAGCAACTAGGAAGAGAAGGCCAGTCAGTGGGATGAATAGAGACAAACAATATTTGCAGCATTGAACCTCAAGGGTTCAGGATACTGAAGAAAAAGAATTAAATATATATTATTATGAGATAAAACTACTTGCATATATATATATATATATATATATATATATATATATATATATATATATATATATATATATATATATATATATATATATATATATATATATATATATATATATATATGTGTGTCGTGTGTGTGTGGTGTGGTGTGGTGTGGTGTGTTGTGGTGTGGTGTGGTGTGTGTGTGTGTGTGTGTGTGTGTGTGTGTGTGTGTGTGTGCGCACCAGCTGTGAAGAATCTAATAACTTATATAAATAGTGAAAAGAATAACCAAATTTTCTCTCTTGATATCCCACCTTTCATCTGTTCGATCATCTATCTTCCCATCGATACTTTGTTTTGTCTGCATCTAAATCTGCCTGTTTATGTTATTGTAAAAAATAGGTGCAAAATGTCTGCCAGCTATTTAAAAAAAAAAGATGCTCCAGGAATTAGATGCTAGGCCAGGCTAGGGATGATTGTTTGCACCAGGATGCTTACCCACCTTGCCAGCTGTAGAAGTCATCTGTAGGAAGAGGTCCAAAATTTCCTGTGGAATTTGGCCGGTTCCATTTCTGACTGTACCATCTGGCATAGTAACTGTCCATTTGTTTATTTTGGATATCTATGAGGGACAGAAAGTTGTGATTTTGTTACATCTTAAAAGCTACATGAACATTAGATAAAATTAGATGAGATAAAATTAGATGAAACGAGATGAGATGACAAAACACAATGCTAGTCAAGACAAGACAAGACAAAAGAAAGCAATCAGAACATTGCCTGTCTCCAGACCTACCTGTGGTAATGGAAGTTCTCCACGGATGAACCGAGTAATCCCTTGTGGTAACAATCCTCGCCCTTCCATGATCTTAACTCCTGAAGGTCGTGAGATCTCCCAGTTGGGCTCTCGACCGCTGTGGCTGGATGATTTGAGGACAGTAACCGAGGGATTTCTGGAGTACTTGTCAACAAGATGGTCGGGGACATTACCTGTGGCAGAACACCTTTATCAATTAATGTTTTTGATAAAAAGGGCCTAAAAGGGTACCAAGAAGTGTCCCATAAATCTTCTTCTTCTTCTTTGTTCACTTCTGGACTTCAATCTTATTCCAGAACCATTTTACAGATCTGGCTTAATTGTATGCAGACTGTTGGTTCTTCACGGCTTAAGCAGATGCGCTCAGACTTCGGAAGAAAAATCCCTAATTAGTCACTTTTTATGACAAGCTTGTAGGCAGTGGGTCTATTTCCCCCAGCCAAAATGGAGCCCCTGGAACCTGGGAAGTAAAGCTGGCCAACATGATGTTGATCATTCATCAAGTATTCCCTGTCTGGGTTCCAGGGCCCCATAGTGGGGAAAACAAAATGAGACCCACTGCCTCCGCAACAATCATGACATATGAGTCGACTAACTGGAGGCATCCTTCAAAGTCGGAGTACATCTGCCTGAGATAACCAAGAGTCTGCTTACAAAAAAAAGCCAGATCTGTAAAATGGATGTACATGCAACACTTGGGTTCTAGAACGAGACAAAAGTACCCAGGGGGAAGAATACCTAGTAATTTGCGCCAGAGTTTACAGCAGTTGAACTCAATAAAGATCCATCTAGAACCGGCGAACTGGCTAATCTTTACAAATTTGGATCTATTACCATACATCCAGGAGCCGTAGTGGCATAATGGCTAGATGCTCACCTGCCAGCCCAAAGGTCTAGAATTCAAATCTACAACTTAAACATAAATTGAGATCAGCACCCATGCTGACCAAGCTTAAATAGGTATGAGGTAATGTCTCTGGAAGTCAAGGTGGCCTACATAATACTGACCATATCATCTGTTGAGTGGAAATTAATCTATAAAAGGGTAGGTCTAGTACTCTATGCTTGATGAGTCAAAGATGTAAAAGAGGGTTAACTTTTGTTGTTTTTTTTACGATATACCCAGCATGTGCACACAATCACCAAACAGGCACTAAAATGGGATATAAATGAAATAAATGGACTGAGAAAGTGAGGACATCAGTACAAGTCAAACTTTACGGGTCACTGAGTGAATTACGAAAGACAGTGATCTTCATACTAGAGACAACATTGCAGGCATAGATAATCTATTTCAAGTGAATGAAAGAAGAAGAAATAGAAGAACGTCCAAAGAAAACTGGAATGAATGTTGATGAGAGAGGCCAAAGGTACTTGCTTGGATTCCATCCACGATATCGAAAGGATTGCACAGAATACAATGGAATGGATGAATAAAATGTGAGCCCTATGTGACATATAATGCTATTTACAAAAGTACAAAGGATGATGTAGATGATATATTCAATATATCATTTGTGTATGAAGAGTCCTTAACATTCTACTATTACTACAACAATGTAGCAGTATAAAACAACATCCACAAGGAAACAAAGATCAACAAAGGAAACAATATCAGTGACCTGTCCCACTTTCCAGAATGGTGCCATCAGAGGCCAGCAATGACCAGGTGGTTGACGTTTGCTGGGGGACCAGGATTTTGTCCAGTTTGTGGACATCCACCAAACTCTGAGGCATGTCTCCATTTCCAGACTGTAACTGGGACCCATCTGGCTTGGAGATCTGCCACCTGTAGAAGATAACAGACTTGATCATCATCAACATTAAAACACTTGCTTCTTCTGCTTTCATCTCTCACTGGATAATAGGTCCTAAATAAATGACAAGGCCTTTGTGAACTAGTTATTGATTGGTTAGAATTTGCAGTTACTTCCTGACAATATGGCGCATAGGCAGGTTTAGTGTTTCAGTCTGGTTTTTGCTTCTTATAATAATTAGCCATCACATTTTCCTGCATATGTAGACTCAAAGGATGCAGTTCCATTACACAGCTACTGAGCTAAATGCCTGGCGTGAGAGTGAGTTACAGATTTTATTTGAAATGCTTTTGGACAGAAGCAGACTCCAAATTAGACTACTTTTTTCGATTTCCAACTGCCACTGGAATTTTTTACATGCACAACAATACACATGGGCGTCTGATCTTACTAGCAGACACCAGGGGAAATTACTAGAAATCCATGTGAAAAAATCCCAGCCTTCAAGGAGCCTGAACCCGGAACCTTCAACACTTGAGGTAGACACCATGCCTCGATACTATCACCTGTCAACCTCTCAAAAGTGCTATCTATCTCCATTACATTCTGTCTACCTTTCATAACCTCTGTTTATCTCCATTACCTTCAGTCTACTTCTCATAGCCTCTGTCTAACCCCATTACTCTCTGCCTACCCTCATAACCTCTGTCTACCTCCATTACCTTCTGTATACTTCTTATAACCTATGTCTCATAATCTCCTTTACCATCTGTCTACCTCTCACAACCTCTATCTATAGCCGTTACCTTCTGTCTACCTCTCACAACCTCTAACTATCTCCATTACCTTCTTGCTACCTCTGACTTCCTCTTACAACTTGTACCTATCTCCATTACCTTTTGTCTACCTCTCATAACCTCTATTTACCTCCATTATCATCTGCCTATCTCCTATAACCTCTGTCTACCTCCATTACCATCTGTCTATCTCCTATAACCTATGTCTACCTCCATTACCATCTGTCTACCTCACATTACCTTTGTCTACTTCCTTCAGACTTTATTTACCTCCCATACACCTATGTATCTCCCATACTACTGACTATGTCCCATACCATCCATCAACCTCCACTGTCATATGTCTACCTCTCATAACCTCTGTCTACCTCTAATAAAATATTTCTAACTCCCATAACTTCTGTCTACATTCATCAACATCTATATACCTCTCATAACATTTCTCTACCTCCATTATCATCTGTCTACCTCTCATAACCTCTGTCTGCCTCACATAACCTCTGAATGCTTTTCATAACCTCTGCCTATCTCCATTACCATCTGTCTACCTCTCATAACCTCTGTCTACATCCATTACCATTTGTCTACCTCTCATAACCTCTGTCTACCTCCATTAACATCTGTCTACCTCCATTACCATTTGTCTACCTCTCACAACCTCTACCTCCATTAACCTCTGTCTACCTCCATTAACCTCTGTCTTCCTCCATTACCATTTGTCTACCTCTCATAACCTCTGCCTGCCTCCTTCAAACTTTATCAACCTTCCATACCTTCTACCCTATACTTTCTGTCCATGTCCTATACTTTCCATCTACCTCCATTGCCATATGTCTACCTCTTATGACCTCTGTATACTTCTCAAACCCACATGTTTAACTCTCACACCTCTAGTCTAACTTTTACAGTCTCAGCCATCCTCTGACACCCTCAGCCTACCTTTCATACCTCCTGCCTACTTCTAATGCACTCTGACTACCTCTCATACCATGTGGCCATCTCACATACCTCTTATCTCTCTCATCCCATGACTACCTGTTATATACCCTTTGGCTCCCACACCCCACCAGTTCCTCACATCCACCACTTACCTCTCAAGACTGTCTCCTCTTTCAAAGACCTTGACCAAGGTTCCTTGAGTAAACCCAGCATACCTGTTGATGACATCATATGGAACCGCCCCCTCCCCATTTTGCAATACAACGCCACCTGGTGCCAGAACAAACCATCTCTCGGTCACAGGAGACCGGAGATCAAAGCCATACTTTTCCTGTTTCATGAAAGACAGATTGATAAAGTTACAGCAGACATTTTCAGACAATGGCGTCCCCTTGGTCGCCACTGCCTGTTCACAGTGAGACATCTAGCTCCACAGAGAAAACATGAACAATCTACTGTGCTCGTAGATCTAATCCCAGCTAGTACGTACGCAAGGTTCTGTTTCTATGCTTGACAAGAATGGCATCAGAAAGGGCACCACAGATAGCAATGTTATACAGATGCCGCAGTAACAGACCAGAGGTCAACCACACAGAAGATGAGCCTCAGAAACATCAGAGACACTGAAAAGCACTTTATACGAAGGGCCCATTCCAGTGATCTCTTCATGCCCTGACGCTGTGAGCAATTTCCTGAGTTGAGAAAAGAAGAAGAAGATCCTAGAGCCATATTTTTATATACTTGTAGGAACTCTATGACTTATGTCAGCATCACCTTGACTTTCAAGGGATTTTTCATTTAGGTACGGTCAACAAGTTAACAATGACTACCAATTATAATAACCCATCTAAATGAGGATTTGAACAAATAAGAGTCCAGCAACTGAGCCACCGCACTATAACTTTACCCCAGTCTGTACCTGCTGTATTCAATCATTACATGGTCACAAGTTTATCCAAAGATGTGAAAATTAATTACAGCCCTGCATTCCATACAAGATTCTAAGCTTGGAGAAGGGAATGAGGAGTTCTGCAACAGAGTCATATGAGATGGTACTTTTGGGAGAACAATATCTACAGCTTCTCACTCCAAAAGATTTATGCCCTTTACACAGCTAGATGACTTTAGTGTCATTGCACGGAAGTTCAGCATGATCTTTTAGAGAGTCCCTGACTGACCAGATGATGATGGGCTAAATATACACACTTGTGTCTGCACAGATCACATTTTAAAATTAGGATACTCACCCACATATAAATATTTGTGTGCATATGTGATTGTGGTACATACCTATGTGGACCCTTGCTGGTGCTATGGAATGTGTGCATTGTGATGAGATTCTCCTAGTGTCATTTGTGGCTGGAGTCTTAATGAATTGGGTGAAGGAATAAACAGGCAAATTTAATGCCCGATGGATATATGTGTGTGTACATATATCTGTGTGTGTATGATGCACGCGTGCCTAGGGTGTGTCTGCATGTTTGCCTACATTTGTTTATGTGAAGCAGACACAAACAGACAACTTGACAGACAGACAGCAGCTAGTCAGTTAATCAGCCAGTTAACTAAACCCACAGACAGACAGAAAGTACCTATTTTACTAACAGGCAGACTGTTTGACAGTTAGACTGACCAAAAGTTATATATTAACTATTACTCATTTTATGAGCAAAAATACAGTTGAAAATATCGTGAGGCCAAAAAAAAAAAAAAAGAATGTATAAATACAAAAATTACCTGTATGCTGACAGGAACTGCTCCTCGTCCAAATTCTTCTACCTTTCCAGTCTGTCCATCTGCATTGATTGAAACTATTTTCCAGGTGGGTACTGCTAAATTTGATCCCCCTCCTGAATGGTCATGGACCAGAACTTTCTTGAAACCGACTGGCACATAGACAATTCCATTCATGATTGTAGGGGTTGACAAGCTGCCAAGATTACTGAACTGAATGGTATCCACCATGGACTGGTTCACTGCAGGCCATGTTGCATTGACCTTGACATCATACCTGGGGTCAAGGATGATGGTACCATTTCTGGAAATGGTTATAACTTCTAACGGTTCTTGCGCAGCACCTGAATCAGCAAATAATAACAATTATATTAATATTGTACCCTTATAAACTGCATACAGTTAGGAACAGAGAATGAGCGGCAACAATGGAATCTACAATCTATTTAAATCATCACTAATCACTGGCATCATAAGGGCTAAAAGACTTAAATAGCTGGTGCGTATAGAGAGAATGGCAGAGATGACAGAGAGGCAAAAACTGCACACACACAAGAGTTGAATGAATGTAGACCCCAATGCAGATAAGAAGACTGAAGAAATAATATCTAAACAGACCTGTAAACACTTGGAGTCACAAACTGGAAAGTTAGGGCTAATTACAACAATACATGAATGCAGGTGATATCTGCTGCAATGAACCTCAAGTGCCTGGAATGCTGAAGAAAAAACATAATACTGAGGAAAGAAAATCTTTCAGAATGTTAAATATTTAAATTTATTCTGAAGCAGATTGATGTGCACAAGTATTTTGGCACCCTAGTTACTGCAGATGAAAGATTAATAAGAATTCAAATAGAGGGTGTTTTTAAAGTTTCAATACACATTGTACGCAGAATAAATTTGAAAACCAAAGTACATGATGACATCAAAAAATAGTTACTGCTATGGTCTAACGCTGCTTTGGGAAAGCTGGAAAGTACCAATTAAAAAGGCATTATAGCATTATAACCCCCTCCCCCCCCCCCCCCTTTCCTTGATAGAACCGTTCTGTTTTGAGTGTAAAGAATTACTCCAGCAGACGACAGTCATTCATTGCAGTACTGACTGGCTAAGTAGTGGAAAAGAAGATAATAACGTAAGCAATGTAAAAATAAAAGTTCCATTTTCATTGCTCCAGCCTAGGATGCTAGTCCACATATTATTATAGACCAGTTTGTTCTCAGTGTCTGATCACACCACTTTCCTTTACTCCCCATGTCATTTCCTGGTAGCCATTTTAGGCTGGTTTGACTCAGTAATCCAAGTCTATTTCTGAAATCTGCCTTGAATTAGATTTAAACTAACAATCAGCAAGCCATTAGGCAAACATACTAGCCACTGCAGAAAAGCTGTAACATGTAACAATAATAATAATAATAGATAAGAATAAGATTCTCATGAGACAAACCTCTAGGGTTGATAATGTCTGGCCTTGCCACTTCTGATTTCCCAACGATGACAGTTTGTTGAGTGCTGCCATTGTGACTAGTATTGGTAAACCAGTGCTGAAACCCCCACTCTCCGTTGTTGTTGTTCCAAACCTGAGAATCGTTGGAGAAACAATGGATGGTTAAAGTTAACAATGAGGTATTTACACAGTGTCATCATCATCATCATCTTAAGTGCCCTGCCAACTGGCGTAGGTGCTCATGCGTCTCAGATCATGATCCCTGTCTGGAACAGCTCTCATGATGATATCCCTCTATGCCATCGTTTCAGCCCATCCACCATCATCTCTCTTAGTCTGTCTCTACCCCTTTTTCCACTGATCCTTCCAGTTGTCACGATGTTCTCCAATGTCTCTCTTCTCATTATGTGGCTAAAGAACAGTGTTTTTCTCTTTCTTACTGAGTGTGGCTGTTGTATACAGATCTTTTAAGCAATTGTTATTAGATGCTCTGGCCGTCCAAGGTATTTGTAATATTCATCTCAGAAACCACATCTCTGTTTATACAAAGTGTATGATTTGAAAAACATATACATAAGGGTGAACTGCAAGGAAAAGTCTAGCAAACTTATCCTGGTTGGAATTCACATAGAAAGATTAGTTCACCTGGGTAGAGATTTAACATTGCAGCATTCCGACCATACTAGCTTTGTCACCATCCTCAACAGCTAGGGATGAGTCTTAATACTGATGGCACCCATTATCATCTCGTTAACTATATTTCTCAGTTTTCCCTGAGTCTCGTGTGATGCTCATAGCCAGTAGACACTCGCCAATGCATATTTTTTTTTTTCAAATAGAGGTGTTCAGTTCAGGTACAAAGTCAACAGGAAAGTCTCTATACCAACATCACACTAAAGAATACAATCTTCTAAATTTCCAACCAACAAGCCAAATCATTAAAATAAAAAATAAAAATAAAAATAAAAAAACAATTACCTCCCCTGAAGTTGTGTTTCTTTGTTTCCTGTACTTGAACTTAATGAGAAGATTGTCTCCCATGTCCTGCCCAATGGTCCCTGGGAAGGTCAGAGAACTGTCTCCATTAAAGTAGGCACTGCCGGAATCCGTTCTGATCACCCGGTGTATGATGGTTTGATGAAGTTGTGGGAAAATACCCTCGAACGTTAAGTTGATTGCAGGAGAACAGGCTATGAGAAGAAATCGTGCAACAGATATCAACAATGATTATCATCATCATCATGTTTCCTGCCCAGCAGCAAAGGTGCTGATGTCTCCTCACAGAACTCTGTCCTTGGTATTTTGAATAAATTCCACTGATGACATTCCACCATGCTATTGATTCAGGCCGCCAAGTATCATCTCTCTTTGTCTTCCTCTGCCTCTTTTACCACTGATCTTTCCAGTCATCACAATGTTTTTCAATGCCTCTCTTTTCATTACATTACTCAAGAACACCAAAAGCCTCTTTCTTATAGTTGTATACAGTTTTCTAATTTCATTAGCCATTTACAGGCAGTCATTGCTAGTCACTCTGTTTGGCCATGGCATTCGCATCATGTTTCTCAGAAACTCCATTTCTATGGCCTCCAAGTTCTTAATTGGCTCACATTATGCTTCATCCAGAGTGGCATGTTTCACTGCAGAGGACATGGGTGAGAAGTACTGTCTGGATTTTTTCACCGGATACACGGGTGTGTTGGGAAATGAATAGAGGTACAGACTTGCTGGCTCTGCACAACTTGTTGGAATACTGATACATGATAAGGCAGATGTGGTTAGTGCCTTGTGGGAGAGCGTGTATAGTTTGCAGGTGCAGATGGATCGCCACAGTCTGGTGAGACTGATGCAGGGGCGAGTGACAAGAGGTTCTGGCAGATGCTCAAGGCTCAGAGGAAAGGAAGATGGATGTTTAATCAGAATGCTACTGGCACCATTGGTATCAGAACTCTTTAAGGCTGCTGAAGATAGGGATGGAGCGCTTATGGGAATGCCCAGAGTGCTGTGATGTCCGTTCTTGAATTAACTCAACTCACATTATAAGATACACTGCCATATAGCAGCACTGGTTCAACATAACATTAAAGTACTCTTTTTCGTGTTTAATGAGAGAGATCTCTCTGATTTAGCAAATCCATACGTAGAGGGGAAAAAAACAGTCTTTACTACCAATAGTACAAATGTAGGGTCAGTGTGGAGTAGCTGGCCAAAATTGTAGACCTCTGGGCTTCATGAGGGAGACTCAGATTTAAATCCTCATTAAGGTGGAAGCACAGGAAGGACAGTTCGAAGAAGACGACCTAGAGGAAGCAAGAATGTGAAGAAGAAGAAAGAAGAAGCTGAAGAAGACGAAGCCAGAAGAAGAAGAAGAAGAAGAAGAACTGATGGCAAGAATGAAGAAGAAGAAGAAGAAGAAGAAGAAGAAGAAGAAGAAGAAGAAGAAGAAGAAATGAAGAAGAAGAAGAAGAAAGAAGAAGAAGAAGAAGAAGAAGAAGAAGAAGAAGAAGAAGAAGAAGAAGAAGAAGAAGAAGAAGAAGAAGAAGAAGAAGAAGAAGAAGAAGAAGAAGAAGAAGAAGAAGAAGAAGAAGAAGAAGAAGAAGAAGAAGAAGAGAAGAAGAAGA